TGGCATGCCAAAAATCTGCTTAAATATTTTTTTATCAAATCTGAAAAACGTGGAGTTAATTATGATCATAACTGCTTTAACAAACTCGTGCAAAGGAATCGAAGTCTTATTTTCAATCCAGTTCCATCTACATTCAATTTTTAATACTAAATCCGTAAGAATGTTAGTGTACATGGAAACCACATCAAATGATATGATATTAAAATTACTTTTGATAATCTTTCCATTAAGCTTGTCAAGCAAATCATAACTATTTTTTACATAACTAAAATTGTTATTATTACTATTATCGATAATTTCTTTTAAGAAGGTCGCCAGTGGATAAAAGGCGCTGTTAATGCAACTAACAATTAATCTTAGTGGATGACCTTCTTTATGAATTTTTGGTAGTCCGTAAGATTTCTTCCGGAAGAGGTCTTCGCTATCAGATACATATAATTTTTTGTATATGCTTGGATCAATGTACCCCTTGTTTTTCCAATTTTTTAATAAGTTCCTAATTTCTAAATTTATTTTATTAGTAGGATCTTTATCTATTACCTTATATGTCGTCTGATCATTAAGAATTTCATTTTCTCCCGATAATTTTTACGATTCATAATTACCGTGTTTCCTTTGTCCGCTTTCGTGATTAAAATCTCAGGATTCTCTGAGATGAATCGTTTAACCTCTCTTACACCTTCTTGTATAATTTTGTTTTCAGCCGATTCCGTATCACAATTATTAATTGAGTTGAGGATGTGGAATGTCTCATTTCTGACTAATTTATAAATTTCCTCGTCAGTTTTAAATAAATTATGTTCGATGTGTTTAATGAACTCACGTGTAATTCGTTCTTTGTTCGTTAAATTATTAGATAAATTAAAATGTTGACCCAATTGTAAAACTATTTTAGCTTTATTTGGAATGTCAACCTTACTCAGATTAATGAGTCATTTTTCGTTGGTATTTGAGATATCAAATTTTGTATTGAAGCTACCAGGATCGATCTTAATATTGTAAACCGAATATGTGTTATTTGATATCATTTTATTAAACACGTTTTTTGTAATCAAGGGTGCATTAGAGGCATCACCACTCATCTCATAATCCGATCGTTGTATAATGTTGTAATTAATATTCTTAATGTTAGATAATTCTCTAGAAATATGTTTCCTACGCAGGTTAATTATTTTCCTATTAATTCTATTGTACTCTTGCCGCCATAAAATGTCAAAATTAAATTCTTTTCTTCGGAAGAAGGAATCAGCAATATTAATAGGTAAAATTTTTTCTAATTGTCTACATGTGGTAAATAATTCAGATTTGATCTGCTTCAGATGTATGTAAGCATCTTGTAATTCAACTCTTAAATATTTAAAAACAAAATTACGTTTAAGTCTGTTGATTCTTTCTTCCGATATTAATAATAAAATAAATTATTGTAAATTAGAATCTGGAAATTCTCGTTCTACACTTTTCACTATATGACTTCTGACGTCCTAACATTATGATATGAAGCAGCGTCGCATTGATGCAAACATGATTTTTACAATTATAACACACGACGGTTGAATTTTATTCCAACTTGATGTAACTCTGCGTCTTAAGAATATTATTAATTTTACTGAAGATGGCCAGATTGTGGCCGAAACGTTTAATGTTTTTATTGTAATTCGTAATGCAAGAATATCACTAAATATCACTAACTATATCTTGTGCTGTGGTTCCTTATACTCTTTCTTTTCATATTATTCTTCTTATTTTCATTTTTGCACTAAAAATTCATTTTTACGTAAAAATGAAAATAAGAACTAAAACCATAAATGAAAACACGGGCAATTAAGAGTCTAAATTCGCAGTAATTAGAGCGATTATATCAACATATACAATATTTCTCAGTACTATATGTATATATATATATATAACAAATACCGTAACGTTCCAGCTTAATTATTCTTTAAAAGAAGTTAAGAAGTTTATAAGATCAGTAAATCTTTTTATATCCTTCAACTTTTGTCTGAACACTTTTACGATTGCATCTGCGACGATAAGAGGGATGTATGGATGGTCTGAAACACTCGATATGATTTAATAAATTAAATAAATTATTTGTTAATTAATCTGTTAGTGGTCACCATCAAGCCTAGTAAATAATAATTTAATTAAAAAATCACGGGAACGGAAACCGTCCCGGGCGCTGTCATTCTTTGCTACGCCACTGGTGCAGAGAATTCTTTTTTATCGTGTCTATCAATTTAAAACGATGTCCATAAAGTAGTAATTTTAGTTGAGAGAATAGGAAAAAGTCATATGGTGTCGTATCAAACGAATACGGAGATTATAAAATGGTATTTATTGAATTTTTGATAAAATTACGAGCAAAACAAGAAAAAAATCCAGCCTTTCTTGAACGCAAGATGCGATGTGTCTTACACCCAAATTGTCTTTTAAAATCGATTAGCATGAATCAAATGATATTCCGACAAGTTCAATCATATTTCGAATTGTCAATTATCAATTATTGAACATTAAATCCTTAATTTTTTTTTAAGTGCTGCTCATTAATTGAAATAAAAGATTTTCTATAGCGATCTTTGTCTTTGACGTATTCTTTAGTTTCTTTGAACATTTTATTTATACCATAAAAAAATTCTTGTTCTTGATATGCATTAAGAAAAATATTCATCATTTAAATTCTTTCGCAAAATTTTGTTCCGAAAATAAAATGTTATACAAAATCTTTGCCCAATAAAATTCAACATGTTAAAAATCGCCGAACGTACTTCTTTAATCAAAATAAATGTTTATTTGTAAATTATGAAAGGTATCCGTATAGCGCGCACATATTACAGCAATATTGCAATGTATCAAAAATATTATATATTACATTATTATAGTAATATTACCGATATATTACACAATGATAAACAGCATTGAAATATTACAATAATATTATTGCAATGCATTATGATAATATTATGGCAAAATATAACGTTAAATTAACACTTTGACGGACTCACGTATATGTGAGTTCGTTGAGCCAAAGGTTATCGGCTGGACTCACTTATGTGTGAGTTCGTTGAGTCAGTGCATCGACCGAGTTCACGTGTAAACTTATTGACTAAAATGTTGCAACAGTTTCTTTTCTCTCGCCGAGCGATTAATCCTTATGGATCCATAAGTAAGAACTAATCATCTGGGGAATAGGCTGCATTCCGAAACCCATTGAAAAAAAAATGTTGCAACCTTTTAGTTGGGGAATGTATACATAAGTTAATTAATTAAATTATATAATTAATTAAAGTTCATTATACAATTGCGTAAGGGTAGTTGTAAAGAGTTGTATTTGTAAGAATTAACCAATCACAGTCAAACATGAAAAAAATATTTGACAGTCAATTCTTACAACTATGCTTACGCAATTATAGAATGGGCTAAACAGGCCTTACACAATAGGCTCGCAAGCCGTAAATCGTAGAAATTGATCAATCATAGTCGAATATGAGAAAAATAATCAACTATGACTAGTTAATGTTTTACGGGCTTGTGGTCCTATTGTATAACAGGCCTAGTTAGCAATTATTAACCGGCATTGATTGCGGAAGATAAATGATACACTATATACTATAGTTGATACAGGGTGGCTCCAATTTATGGCTCCACCCGTCTTGAGCAGATAGAGCGGATTAAACTGAGTCGAAAAGTCCTCTATTATTATGCAATGCTCGCAATAGAATTAACGAGATATTAACGTTTAAAGATAGCCGAATACGCACGTTCGCCCGACCTATTATTGCCTAAGGTATGGTCCATCCTGATCGCAAGGCGCGCGGCACTGAGGAGCGGGGATGGCCTTAGCATGCGTCGCTCGAAGCGCGCCGTGTCGTTCGAGCTTAGTGGCTCGCGGCGGTGTGCGGGGTGCTTGCTCTACTCCTCGCGCGCCAAGCTATCGATGGCGAATATTCGGCGCTTTAGAAATAATATCTCGATTGCGAAAATTGGGAAAGGAAAAACTATTGGAGAAAACTCAGTTTAGAAGGCGTGCACATGTACATACAGAAAAATGTTACACAAATATCACTTGTTTCAAATAAATGATAAAAGTAAGTACGATAATAATAGGAATTCTAACTCACGAATACAGTAACCAGCAAATGGCTCTGTGTCGCACGGGTGGGGAGGGCGAAGTCACAAATGTTGGGAAAGGGGAAGCGCGTCACCAGGGGCCGTGTTAGAGGGGGAAGGGGGTTTCGTTCCTTCTCTCTCTCTAATTTATTGTCGTCTCTCTCCTATCCATTGTAGGATGCAGTTCTCTCTCTTCCACGTTGCAGTCCTATACATATTATTTGCGATCTCTCTTCCTCCCGTTGCGCTATCTCCCACGTTGTCTTTTCTTCTTGCACGTGATTTAATTAAATAGATATGGTTTTTATGGTTTTTTAACGATACGACTTAGAAACTAATTATGATAATATTTTTATGAATTTTTAATAATATAACCTAGTAATTATAATAATATTCTTCTTTTATCAATGTAATACAAAGTATTGTAAGTTGTACGGCCAAGCGCGCTTTCTTATTGACTAATTCAATATTACTACGAAGATATGAAGAAGTACTAAGGATAAAATAATTTTAGAAAAAAAAATATATATTTTACCATACATTTATTTATCATATAATGCAATATGTACAATATAATCTAAACCATAAACTATTATTCATATTCTATAATAGAATTTTTATTATAAATTTTATACATCAGCATCGCTTTTATTAATAATTCAATTTTGTCTTAAAAATGACACAAAATTTTTTATTAATACCGTATATTGACTTAGTTATAGAATATATGTTCAACATATTGCTCAAGTTCAAATAAGATAAGTACAGTTGTTGATTTAATGTACAAACATGTACTATTTAATGTTAACTTCACGTTATTCGTATCACATATTTTAACAAGTTCCACATTTAAATTTTGAATCCGTGATGATGATGGGACTGTTGACTGCATTAATCGCTCGATATCTGCACGCCTCTTGATGAACGTCTTCCATGTAGCATGAGGTATGAACATACGGTTGCCTCGATTATCACCAATCGCAACATGAGATATAGATCTTACAACGATCCCAATGTCCAGAAATTTGTACGCTGTTAATGCATATTTCCTCATCAAGATACGAAGCATATAGCGAGATTTTGAAGATGTACTAGATGTTTGAGGAAATGAGCTTTGAAAAAAAAAACATGTAAATAGATCTCACAAAAATACATAACATATAATACGTATAAGAAAAATATTTTATAAAATTAAATGAACTACTGTCTCTTGCACGCCTCATCCTGTTGAATTGGAACGTAATAATTTATGGCTTGAGATATTTTATTTTCTCGGAGAACTTATAATTAGTAATAGCTGTCTGAAATCTGTTGAAGCTCTCTGAATGACTGATGCGGTAACATTGCCCGGAGCTCTCCTTTTAAACAGTATTCTCTTCCACATTTTTTTTACACATCCTAAAAGGGAGGAGATCTTTTTCTATATACATTATACTTTGAAGAACAGTTGAATAAGATCAGCTTTGATCGAATATAGAATTCCTTTTACTTAATTGATGGAATTAAAATTTATTTATCTAATTAAAAAAATTTTTTATTCAGTTTATAACATATATTGTATATATATGTATATACAACATATATGTATATATATAATAACATATATGTATATATATATATACAGGGTGGCATTAATATACGGCCCCATTCGTCCCGAGCAGGTAGAGTGGACTAAACTGAGTAGAAAAGTCATCTACCATTTTGCAATGCTCGCAATAATTAACGAGATATTAACGTTTAAAGATAGCCGAATACGCGCGTCCACCCGATCTACTATTGCTGAAGGTACGGACATCGAGTGCACGGCACGCGGGCCGCGAGGAACGGGGCTTACCGTCGCGAGCCTCTAAGCTCGAATAGTGCGGCGCGCCTGCTAGGCCATCTCTACTCCTGGAGGACGTGCGTATTCGGCTATCTTTAAACGTTAATATCTCGTTAATTATTGCGAGCATTGCAAAATGGTAGAGGACTTTTCTACTCAGTTTAGTCCACTCTATCTGCTCGCGACGAGTGGGGCCGTATATTCATGCTATCCTGTATATGTTATATATAAATATACATACAATATATGTACGTTATAAACTGAATAAAAAATTTCTTTAATTAAATAAATAAATTTTAATTCCATCAATTAAGTAAAAGAAATTCTATATTCGATCAAAGCTGATCTTATTGCCTAAATATTTCGGTGTGAATTTATATACATACGTACATAGACAATTCTGTAAACTGCGCAATAGTCCTTTTCAATCTTAACGCAATCATGGATGTAACTACAGTAGTATTATAAAATTATGTATTATAATTGTGTGTTCATACATGTTCCCTTGAAAAACGATATTCACTCACTAGTTGTTGATCAAATGGATATTCACTTACTTATAATCATTGGCGACAAGTATTGCTGCAATCTGTACGCTTGACTTATGCGAAATTGCAAAATTGTGTTTCTACGTATTCAACAGAGTAATCTAACCACAAAACATATTGTGACATGTCGATTTTACGTAGAAAAAAATTTTTGTATTACACTTATGCAAAATCGTATGTCTTCGTGGTCTTCGTCAACTGCCGTACATCGACGTCTCACCGAGAAGAACTTATGCATTTTTATTTGTTAAACTTAAATCATCAACCGAAAGATGCTTTATGTCGTATACTCACTAATATATGTTGCTAGTATTAGTGAACTACAATCAAAATCTATGACAATTATCAATTATTATATATCAAACCATCGTCGAATGTATATCGAATCACTGTCAAAAACATCTTTGGAATCAATGTCAAACATCTATCAAATCATTATCGAACGTTTATCACACCATTTTTAACCCTAACTATACAAACTGGGTTCCCAAAAACCTCAATCTCAATTTGCTAAATCGAGATTTTTTCGTATTTCTGAATTTTTATTTTTCTTTGAACAAACAGTTGTCGATCGGTTCAATTGTACACTAAAGACCGAAATGTGAAAACAGTTCACACATACAAATTATTAATCACATATTTGTCTATTTGTCATGTAATGCAGCATTTTCGATATTATTTAAAGCGTGAACTATTTATTCTATAATAAAATTTTTATCACAAATTTTGTGAAAAAAGTATTAAATTTATTGATAACACATCTTTTGGCGCAAAAATTTATAACATTTCTTTTATTTGCGTTTTAATTTCTTCTTGATGTATGGGAGGATAACGATATTGTTTTGTGTGAATAGGATTTTCGTCTGAGGTTTTAATCTCATGTTGAATTAGATCAGTGAGTGGGAGTGGATCTCCTGGCAAAGTGAAAATATCGTGATACTCTAATATTATATTTCAGATTTCACTAAAATGCTCTCTGGACGAGAGACGAGTATTTTCTTTCAATAATTGTAAGCGTGTATTATCCAAGGTTTTCTTTGTAATGAAATATACCGGTACATCGTGAAAATCCTCAATACTTTTAATTTCAGCATGCAAATGTTTCGATAAAATAGACTTATTAGAATCATTCATCCTCGTAATTATTCCAGTGTGATCCCTAAGTATGACTAATACATTTGAACTTTTTTTTATGTCACTAGGATGTGGTTTGTCATATCTTTTAAATTCCTTTCCTTCAAGAATTAAACTTTTATTTGTTATGAAAAATTGAAATTGTTCCTCGTAAGAAAATCGATGCCTATTATGCCCTGATGTTTAACTGGCGAATAATCGTCTAATACATGAAATACATGTTTTTTTCCGAACATTTCTACAATTACTCCGTACTTAGTTTTCAAAGAATGTGTCGTGATACTGGATACTATTATTGAATCTACCTTAGATAAATTTTTATTTTTAATGAACATTTCATGAATTGAAGATATATCCGAATCCGTGTCTATTAAAAAAGTTGTTTGCTTAAAACCTGGTATTTTCAGGGTATTTTCTGGGTGCTCTGATGTAGTTCTGCCGAGTCCCTGGTAAATTTCTCATTGATATGTTGCTTCAAGGCTCGATCGATTGCATGTGAAGGACGCGATGCTTGATCTGATGGTCGATTGAAAAGATGATATTCGTGAAAATTTTGTTAGCTTCGTTGCTGGTGGAATACTTTGGTTCTGCATTCTTTTTCCTCATGTCCTCGCCTCTTACAGTAGCCACATTCTTGATGTTGAAACCGGGATTTTTTAGGTTTCCTTGAGACTTCATTGCGTTGTGTATTCTTAACTGGAGTTCTCGAAAGAGAGAAAGCTTTCGAAAACGCTTGATTTAGAGTGTCCATCTCAAAGCAATAGAGGTGATCTCCAATTTCTGATTTTACATTACGACAGAAAATCTCGATGGACTTTCGTTGGCAAAGTTCCTTTTGAATACAGATGGTCGCGACTCCTTTGCGATTGCTTTGTGAATTAATCGTGGTGATAATGTCATCGTGTATTCGGAGGAAACGATTTATAAATTCGTCAATATTTTCATTATATTTCATTATATATTTCGTTGGATACACGTGTCTCTTTGTATTTCTAGTGCAGTGAGATTTTGAGTTTTTCGATAGATATCTCAATTTTTCAAAAAGTCGTAGAAAATTTGGACTAGCGTCGATTCTTACTGTGCTCTTTCTGTGAGTTTCTGAGCGATGATATCGCAAAGAAGTTCGTGTTGATTGACTGCCAGTTGCTTTACTGCGACTTGAATGTGTCCAATAAAAGATTCAATGTTGAGTCCATCGAATTCCGGGATTAGATGCATTGCTTTGTCATATGTATTTATTAAAATCTCGAGATTCTCTGATTGAACAGTCGCCGACATTGCTTCCGGGAATCGCTCTTCGGATGGATTTATTTGCAAATTGTTCATTTGATTTCTAAGCGCTTGCACAGCGTCTGTAACTTTTAACAATTGTTCTGCTAATATATTTAAAGTAACCATTTGTTCGTGAGACCGGCTTTGTGCGCGCGACATTGGAGCAGTTACGAAGATTTTTGACTCTAATATATTAATGCCTACACTTGCCTCAGAAGAGGTATCGGAAGGAATTGATCTTACCCTTCTGTAATTTGTCCACGTCTGAAT